CACCCCCTTTGAAGAGGGGGATGACCGGGGCATGGTTCCAATCTCTGGGGATCTCAGACGTTATGAAAGAGAGGTTTGAACAGGCTAGTAATAGAGGTTGCGACAATTTCGGCGGCTAGTTTTAGAAAGAAAGGGTCCAGATTGTCTAGCCCAGCAGATTTGTAGGGGTCCAGATTTAGCAGCTCTTTCAGGACATCAGCTATCTGAATTTGGGTGAAGGAGAAGCGGGGGGGGGGGCATGGGCAAGTTGCAGCGGAGGGTGCAGAGCTGGTGGCCGGGGTTGGGGTAGCCAGGTGGAAAGCATGGCCAGCCGTAGCAAAATGCTTGTTGAAATTCTCGGTTATTGTAGATTTATCGGTGGTGATAGTGTTTCCTAGCCTCAGTGCAGTGGGCAGCTGGGAGGAGGTGCTCTTACTCTTATTCTGGGTAATGGAGTTCTGGAGGAATGTCTGGGTAATGGAGTTCTGGAGGAACTTCTGGGTAATGGAGTTCCCCTCACAGTGATGGTGGTTATGTAGGTCGTCCTGTAGTGTAGGTTGTCCTTGTTCAGAGAGACAGATTGGATTGTGGATCTGAGATGGTGGCCAGAAGAGTCAGACAGTAGACTTCGGTCACACCATGAGGGAGGACACCGCCAAGCAACAAGGAGGAAAGAGGAGACATTAGACATTGCCTCACCCAAAACAAAACCATTTGGCGCTGACACAAATATGACTGACCCGCTGTGTGTGTGTGTGTGTGTGTGTGTGTGTGTGAGAGATAATGAGAGAGAGAGATAATGAGAGAGAGAGAGCTCATTTGGCTTCTGTGGTCTGCTGGAAGACCACAGACGCTTACTATAGTATGTTGCAGTATACTGTAGAATACTACAGTAAATACTGCAGAATTATCCACAAAAAAACACTAGTAAATACTACAGTAATGTACGCAAAAACACTACAGACTACACTTTTTTAACGATAGTAAATACTACAGTATTAATTTGCATATACCCATTCCCCTCCCCCATATCTCAATTTGTGCCACCCATAAGTGAGAAACGACCTGTACATGCCAAGTATAGATCATATTGTGTTCCCTACAGGTTGTACTGTAGGAAAGAGCAGAAGCTCTGAAGGTTACGGAAAATGTACTCTTATGGGTATTACTCCAGTAGGTTTCCTGAAGGAGAAAGCCTCTTCTATGTCAAAGATAATTAAACAAAAACACTACAGTAAATACTACACTAAATATTACTGTATACTACAATCCACAAAAACACCACAAATTACTATAGTACTGTATATACTAAAATTGTATTTTACTACTATAGTTAACTATTAATACTCTCTCTCTCCACTAGCCGGCCTCCTCCCAGTACCATGCCCTGAACTTTAGTCACTAGCCGGCTACCACAAGGTTCCTCAACCCTGCACATTAGAGGCTGCTGTCCTATGTACAGTGAGGGAAAAAAGTATTTGATCCCCTGCTGATTTTGTACGTTTGCCCCACTGACAAAGAAATGACCAGTCTATCATTTTAATGGTAGGTTTATTTGAACAGTGAGAGACAGAATAACAACAAAAAAATCCAGAAAAACGCATGTCAAAAATGTTATAAATTGATTTACATTTTAATGAGGGAAATAAGTATTTGACCCCCTCTCAATCAGAAAGATTTCTGGCTCCCACGTGTCTTCTATGCAGGTAACAAGCTGAGATTAGGAGCACACTCTTAAAGGGAGTGCTCCTAATCTCAGTTTGTTACCTGTATAAAAGACACCTGTCCACAGAAGCAATCAGTCAATCAGATTCCAAACTCTCCACCATGGCCAAGACCAAAGAGCTCTCCAAGAATGTCAGGGACAAGATTGTAGACCTACATAAGGCTGGAATGGGCTACAAGACCATCGCCAAGCAGCTTGGTGAGAAGGTGACAACAGTTGGTGTGATTATTCGCAAATGGAAGACACAAGAACTGTCAATCTCCCTCGGCCTGGGGCTCCATGCAAGAGCTCACCTTGTGGAGTTGCAATGATCATGAGAACGGTGAGGAATCAGCCCAGAACTACACGGGAGGATCTTGTCAATGATCTCAAGGCAGCTGGGACCATAGTCACCAAGAAAACAATTGGTAACACACTACGCCGTGAAGGACTGAACTCCTGCAGAGCCCACAAGGTCCCCCTGCTCAAGAAAGCACATATACACGCCTGTCTGAAGTTTGCCAATGAACATCTGAATGATTCAGAGGAGAACTGGGTGAAAGTGTTGTGGTCAGATGAGACCAAAATCGAGCTCTTTGGCATCAACTCAACTCGCCGTGTTTGGAGGAGGAGGAATGCTGCCTATGACCCCAAGAACACCATCCCCACCGTCAAAGATGGAGGTGGAAACATTATGCTTTGGGGGTGTTTTTCTGCTAAGGGGACAGGACAACTTCACCGCATCAAAGGGACGATGGACGGGGCCATGTACCGTCAAATCTTGGGTGAGAACCTCTTTCCCTCAGCCAGGGCATTGAAAATGGGTCGTGGATGGGTATTCCAGCATGACAATGACCCAAAACACACGGCCAAGGCAACAAAGGAGTGGCTCAAGAAGAAGCACATTAAGGTCCTGGAGTGGCCTAGCCAGTCGCCAGACCTTAATCCCATAGAAAATCTGTGGAGGGAGCTGAAGGTTCGAGTTGCCAAACGTCAGCCTCAAAACCTTAATGACTTGGAGAAGATCTGCAAAGAGTAGTGGGACAAAATCCCTCCTGAGATGTGTGCAAACCTGGTGGCCAACTACAAGAAACGTCTGACCTCTGTGATTGCCAACAAGGGTTTTGCCACCAAGTACTAAGTCATGTTTTGCAGAGGGGTCAAATACTTATTTCCCTCAATAAAATGCAAATCAATTTATAACACTTTTGACATGTGTTTTTCTTGATTTTTTTGTTGTCATTCTGTCTCTCACTGTTCAAATAAACCTACCATTAAAATTATAGACTGATCATTTCTTTGTCAGTGTGCAAACGTAAAAAATCAGCAGGGGATCAAATACTTTTTTCCATCACTGTACATAGTCATGGAACACTAGTCACTTTAATAATGGAACACTGGTCACTTTAATTATGTTTACATACTGTTTTACCCACTTCATATGTACAGTATATACTGTATTCTGGTCAAGGCCTATCCTATTTAACTTTTGCTGTACAGGGTATACAGAAGATAGCCCTATTTGGTAAAAGACCAAGTCCATATTACGGCAAGAACAGCTCAAATAAGCAAAGAGAAATGACAGTCCATCATTACTTTAAGACATGAAGCTCATTAAATCCGGAAAATGTCAAGAACTTTGAAAGTTTCTTCAAGTGCAGTCGCAAAAACCATCAAGCGCTATGATGAAACTGGCTCTCATGAGGACCGCCACAGGAAAGGAAGACCCAGAGTTACCTCTGCTGCAGAGGATAAGTTCATTCAGTAACAGACACATCTCAACATCAACTGTTCAGAAGAGACTGTGTAAATCAGGTCTTCATGGTCGAATTGCTGCAAAGAAACCACTACTAAAGGACACCAATAAGAAGAACAGACCTGCTTGGGCCAAGAAACAGGAGCAATGGACATTAGATCGGTGGAAATTTGTCCTTTCGTCTGGAGTCCAAATTGGAGATTTTTGGTTCCAACCGCCGTGTCTTTGTGAGACGCGCTTTGGGTGAATGGATGATCTCCACATGTGTAGTTTCCACCGTAAAGCATGGAGGAGGTGTTATGGTGTGAGGGTGCTTTGCTGGTGACACTGTCTGTGATTTATTTAGAATTCAAGGCACACTTAACCAGCATGGCTACCACAGCATTCTGCAGCAATACGCCATCCCATCTGGTTTGGGCCATCATTTGTTTTTCAATAGGACAATGACCCAACACACCTCCAGGCTGTGTAAGGGCTATTTGACCAAGAAGGAGAGTGATGGAGTGCTGCATCAGATGACCTGGCCTCCACAATCCACTGACCTCAACCCAATTGAGATTGTTTGGGATGAGTCGGACCGCAGAGTGAAGGAAAAGCAGCCAACAAGTGCTCAGCGTATATGGGAACTCCTTCAAGACTGTTTGAAAAGCATTCCAGGTGAAGCTGGTTGAGAGGATGCCAAGAGTGTGCAAAGCTGTCATCAAGGCAAAGGGTGGCTATTTGAAGAATCTCAAATATAAAATATATTTTGATTTGTTTAACACTTTTTGGGTTACTACATGATTTCATATGTGTTATTTCATAGTTTTGATGTCTTCACTATTATTCTACAATGTAGAAAATAGTAAAAAAAGAAAAACCCTTGAATATATATATATATATATATATATATTTATTTATTACATATACACACACACTCTCACACACTCTGGACTCCGACATTGCTCGTCCTAATATTTCTATATTTCATAATTCCATTCTTTAACTTTTTAGATTTGTGTGTATTGTTAGATATTACTGTACTGTTGGAGCTAAGAACACAAGCATGAACATGTATTCAGTATCTGTGCTAAAGGCCTGTTTAAATTCCCTGGGCGATGTTCTAATATGCTCAATGGCGTAAACAAGGAATATAAATTGAACTATTTGCATACATTTTCTTGGTAAGAGGCCTGCGTCTAGGGTAATTCTGTAAGATTTGAGTTGAAGTGGATGAATCATAGGTCGTCTTCAAACCTTAGCATACTAAAACCATTAAAAAGAAACCCGTACACTTTTCGTATATGTTTTATTTATCTTTGAAACGAGTATCAATACAAAAGAATCGCCATGGTCAATCAGAAGATATATTACAGGGATATAGCTACAGCATTGAAATGTTGCAAAAACATACAAAGAGAAATCCAAAAGCCTTCACAAAAAACTCAGCTAAAAGATTTTGAAAGGGGTTGATCTGAAACATAGTGGTTATAGCACAGTGGCTTGGGGGAATAATTCTGTGGTAACACAATACAACCTAGAAATGTGTACAGTCTTCTATTAAAGAAGGCCACTCAGGTTTTTGTGAAGGCAATACCCGTGAAGTGGGAAATGTGTGACTTTGGTTCAATCTAGGGTGTGTGTTGGACAATTCAGGCTACAGCATTATCCTATTGGCAGTACCATTATATAGCAAACATAATGGTGTGAGAAGTAATATGGTATATATATATATATATATATATATATATATATATATATATATATATATACTTTTTTTTACTATCAAACAATGGCACCGTTCCCATTACTTGAGATCTCTTGGAAGAAATGATAACTACATGACAAGCAGCAAGAATGGCAGTCTTTGAAAAAGTTGACAACATTCACGATATGTCTCCTGAAATTGAAATACGTAGCTTGTGGATGTTTGTGAAAAATGGGTCATGGTATCGCTGTAGGTCTCCTCAAAGAGATAAATCAAACGTCATATTAATTTCTATTTACATAAAATATTTACAGCATCGTCATCATAATTAGTCATAATCGCTCTGTTATAAAATATAAACCATAATAAAAAGTCATAAGGGGGTTAAATGGTATTTAGAAAGTCAGTGACTGGCATCAATATAAAGCATTTGGTCTGAAGTCTGTTCAATGGTTGAACGGATGGTGTGTCTTCTTTGGCCCCATTGGTCTTTGTCCTGTTGGCCTGGCCAATAGAGTCTCTCACAGGGCAGTGCTTAAAGGGTTGAAATCGGCAGGCAGTTTGATTGGGCAGACCTTGCCATTTGGTGGGCCGAACATAAAAAACGTCCGCCCTCTCTTCATAACTCCATGAGAGTGACCTGGAACTGACTGCTCATGACTTCAGAGATCTCTATGAGGAATGCCGAGTGGTTGCTGTAGTGTTCGATGATGATGTCATCCATATTGACGAATATCCTGAAAGAGAACGGACAAAGAACAGATTCATGTTTTGTACCACACTTTATATAACAGGCTACATGTTACGTAAATTGTTTGCTGCTGTCTGGCTGAGACATTTTGTAGTCACGAAACAAAAAGAGTGAGAGGCCTCCAATTCCCTCAACACTGCAAACAATTAATCAGGCCCGACTCCTTTTCCCAGAGGGCAACCTGGCTTTACGGTAAGTAAAAGCGACCTGCCTGCTCACGCTACCTGGAGGGAAGGGACTTGATTTGAAGACTATACGTGGAATGAGAATGCTACAGAACCTGTTGGGTTCTCCATGTAATGTCCCTACACAGCAGGGCGGTGTGACAGAAGAACCACACGGCATTCTGGGTGACAGTCCCCCTCTAATCTTCTCCATCAAGTCAGCTTCAACAGATTACTGCCTCACTGCGTTACACCCGTTCATTGACATGGATTCTTGTGTGAAGACTGCAGGCCTACTTTACCACTAGGGGTAGATCTCAAGCTTAGGGAAATGTTGTCACCTTTACAGTAAACGTAAAGACCTTCGATGTAAAACTAGAATAGTATAGAAATCCTTTCGAAAGACTATGGCTCAAGCATTGAACACACAATGGCCGCCATTATTTCATTTCATGGTTCACATGTTGCCAATAGAGATACCAGCTCTTCCTCAAAGGTTACTCCCATTCAATGGCAAGCACCTGGCAACCACATATTTTCACAATAAGGTGGCTCCCTCCGCCTTAAATCAAAACCCTTGTCTATCATAGTAGGTACCTCTTTTCACTCAACAAAACAAATAGACCAAAACACTTCTACTTGGTGTAGCTACGGGATGAGTAGATCAGATTACAGAAACATAAATACTGTAAAGTAAAACAATCGGCTAACTCATCCATCTTTCCGTCCTGTTTCTTTTTCGGAAGAGCACATTTTTATTTTATATATATATATAAAAAAAAAAAATCATTTAGCAGACGCTCTTATCCAGAGTGACTTACAGGAGCAATTAGGGTTAAGTGCCTTGCTCAAGGGCACATCGACAGAATTTTCACCTAGCCGGCTCGGGGATTAAAACCAGCGACCTTTCGGTTACTGGCACAATGCTCTTAACCACTAAACTACCTGCCGCCCTACATTCCAGCAGACATCGAGCTAGCTAGCTCACCTAGCCGGTCTGTCAACTTTGGTTGGTTTCCTTACTGAGGACATCACAGTAAAATAGAAGGATGTATTGCAAAAATAAATAGTAAAATGGTAGAGTACTGGGAAAGATGGGTTAGTCTGTGGACATCTGAGGGTTGGAATTAAGATTAGAGTGTTCTGCATATGAGAGTGAAAATAGCTGTATGTATCAATAGAAGATGTATTGTTGTCCATTGGTTTACTCCAATCAGGGTAGGGGTGGTAGGGTTGGGGGAACATTTTTAAATAGGGGGATTAGAAACTATGCTAACAATTAGTTTGACAGAACCCAGAATCTATCTGCAATATTGAAGCTGATCTACTAAATAAAAAAGTTGTACAAAATTAAACAAAAAAAAAGTTTTGAAAAAGACTTCAACCAAGATTCAAACGAGGTACCATAAAACATGAATTAAACGCTGAGTCACAAATAGCCACCTGTCCCCTTTAATAGCTGGGCAACTGCACACATTTCCGCAAATAAACACCTGCTTCAGACAAACGCTGGGTCTAAATGAACTGTTTGAGGTTACCATGAATTACCATAAATTGTGTACGAGGTTTAATGTTTGATTTGCTACATTAAATAATTCAGTAATGACAACAACAAAAAATTATGGCAATCATCCATTTCTATCGCCAGTAAGAAACTGCTAGCCATTGGCTGCTAACAGCAGAGAACGGTTAGCTAACTGACATGCACAAAAACAGTCAACAACTTCGGGAGTACAGACCCTCAGAAATCGGCAGATCGCCCTATAGTGGCGAAAGTAAGAACTACCGAAAATGCACAGTGAAAGAGGATAAGTATTATTCTGTCAATTTTTTAGAGGCATACTAAGACAAAATAAATGTGACAGTGTGTAAATGATAACACAGTGCAGGAAATTAAGAAATTGATTTAAATGCTGGAAGTGAATGCTGGAATTAAACAATGAACTATGAAATGAGTGAAAGCTGTGTCTATTAAGGAAATAGATGCCTGGTTCAAATAAAAGCCTGTCTCTAATAAGCTCCTGTTGTGTTCAGTGATTTAAGCAAATAAAACACCTGGGCTATTAATTTAAGTTTTTACGGTAAGTAGTATATCCTGCAGCGCATCTACTTAGTCAAATCCAATCAGTTTTCCTTCAATTTACTGTAACTTGCTAATGCTACTTAGGAATACTATTGCTAATTATGTAGCATAGCTAATGCTAACACTTGTTCCTCTTGATGTAAAAACACAGATCAAGGCCTCAGAAAGTAATTTACCCTCTTTTGCATTTCTTGTATATTTTCCCGATGGTGTCCTCTTGCATGCCATACTTTTCAGAAATCTGAGAAAGGAACAAAGGAAAGATGAGTATCACTGTCAACTACAGTATTCTCTCATGCTTGAACGATGAGATGCTTGGACAATGACAACAATGTTGGGTAAGGAATAAGTATTAAGAGTGTACTACTTACTGCTTGTCTCAGGCCTTTCAGAGTTGGGGTGTTGAGCATGAGAGCATCGAACACCTCCTCGGACTCTCTTCTCACGTACAGGAGTACTGAAAAACAGGACAACATAACACGTCAGGTGTACCAGACCAGGAGAAAACAGGATAACAGAACACGTCAGGTTGTGTACCAGACCAGGAGAAAACAGGATAACAGAACACGTCAGGTTGTGTACCAGACCAGGAGAAAACAGGACAACATAACACGTCAGGTGTACCAGACCAGGAGAAAACAGGATAACAGAACACGTCAGGTGTACCAGACCAGGAGAAAACAGGATAACAGAACACGTCAGGTTGTGTACCAGACCAGGAGAAAACAGGACAACATAACACGTCAGGTTGTGTACCAGACCAGGAGAAAACAGGACAAAATAATACGTCAGGTTGTGTACCAGACCAGGAGAAAACAGGACAAAATAATACGTCAGGTTGTGTACCAGACCAGGAGAAAACAGGACAAAATAATACGTCAGGTTGTGTACCAGACCAGGAGAAAACAGGACAACAGAACAGTGACGTGTATTCACGGAAGGCTTCCCTAGAAAATGAAGAAAAAAAAAATGTACATAAAATAACGTATCTTTCGTCTCTCTGTGTTTCATAATTTTGTATCTCACCGGAGGAAGCATCCAATTGAGCGAAACAGCGCCCCTTTGTCTCTGTATGTATAGCCCATCTATCTGATGCTTTCTGGTCAAAAAGAGTATGATATTCTTGCCACCCGTAGCATTGAATTCAAGGAAGCCAGTGAGAATTTGACCTCCCTTGATAAAAAAAAAGTATGAAATAATAGCCAATCAGCGTTGAGCTAAACTGAGTGAGCTCAACTGTGAATGGTCCTGGCGCACCCACAATTTTTTTTTCAAGGGAAACGAGTTTGGATTTGGCTTTACACCAGTCCATCAGATCAAAATACCAAATGTCACTGACAGAACTTGAATTGTTGCATCTCGATGTGTTGTTGTTCTCCGGTGGCTAGCTAAAATTGGCCCTTTTCCTAAATTAGCCATGGATGGAGATAGGGATTTGGACTTGTGGTTTTACTTCATTCTCCGTACTGGCCAATGATTATAACAGCGATTCTGATTTAACCATACATTCTTACATTGTGCCTGACAGGATGGAAGTTCAATATGTAGCTAGATGTAGTAGGCTAATGTTAACTAGTATGCTCATCGTTGCCCATGAAAGGAAGTTAGGCTAGCGAGCAAGCATTTTTTGCCAGTTAGCCTAGGACAACAAAAATGTAAAACGTGTACTGTATGACAGTCATAGACGGTTTCATCAACATGAAAGAGAGGAGGATGGCATACACACACACACACAAATCAGAACCATGGACAGCCACATATTTATACTGAACTAAAATATAAACGCAACATGTAAAAGTGTCGGTCCCATGTTTCATGAGCTGAAATAAAAGATCCCAGAAATGTTCCATATGCACAAAAAGCTTATTTCTCTCAAATTTTGTGCACACATTTGTTTACATCCCTGAGAATTTCTCCTTTACCAAGATAATCCATCCACCTGACAGGTGTGACATATCAAGAAGCTGATTAAACAGCACGATCATTACACAAGTGCACCTTGTGCTGGGGCCAATAATAGGGAATGTGCAATTGGCATGCTGACTGCAGGAATGTCCACCAGAGCTGTTGCCACAGAATGTAATGTTAATTTCTCTACCATAAGCCACCTCCAATGTGGTTTTAGGGAATTTGGCAGTACGTCCAACCGGCCTCACAACCGCAGACCACGTGTAACCACGCCAGCCCAGGACCTACACGTCCGGCTTCTCCACGTCCGGCTACCCGGACAGCTGATGAAGATGTGGGTTTGCACAACAGAATAATTTCTGCACAAACTATCAGAAACCATCTCAGGGAAGCTAATCTGCGTGCTTGTCGTCCTCATCAGGGTCTTGACCTGACTGCAGTTCAGCGTAGTAACTGACTTCAGTGGGCAAATGCTCACCTTCGATAGCCACTGGCACGCTGGAGAAGTGTGCTCTTCACGGATGAATCCCAGTTTCAAATGTACCGGGCAGATGGCAGACAGCGTGTATAGCGTTGTGTGGGTGAGCGGTTTGCTGATGTCAACGTTGTGAACAGAGTGCCCCATGGTGGCGGTGGGGTTATGGAATGGGCAGGCATAAACTAAGGACAATGAACACAATTGCATTTTATTGATGGCAATTTGAATGCACAGAGATACCGTGACAAGATCCTGAGGCCGATTGTCGTGCCAATCATCCGCCGCCATCACCTCATATTTCAGCATGATAATGCACGGCCCCATGTCGTAAGGATCTGTACACAATTCCTGGAATCTGAAAATGTCCCATTTCTTCCATGGCATGCATACTCACCAGACATGTCACCCATTGAGCATGTTTGGGATGCTCTGGATCCACGTGTACGACAGCGTGTTCCAGTTCCCGCCAATATCCAGCAACTTGGCTCAGCCATTGAAGAAGAGTGGGACAACATTCCACAGGCCACAATCAACATCCTGATCAACTCTATGTGAAGGAGATGTGTTGCGCTGCATGAGGCAAATGGTGGTAACACCAGACACTGACTGGGTTTCTGATCCACGCCCCTACCTTTTTTAAGGTATCTTTGACAAACAGATGCATATCTGTATTCCCAGTCATGTGAAATCCATAGATTAGGGCCTAATGAATTTATTTCAATTTACTGATTTCCTTATATGAACTATAACTCAGTAAAATCTTTGAAATTGTTGCATGTTGCGTTTCAAAAATTTTTGTGTGTAGCTTACGTTGTTTGGACTAAATTGTTTTTGGTATCTTTAAGTTGTCACTATATTAGACTAAACGTGATTTGATTTTGAAATGGTTCTGGAATTGTAGGGGCAGCTCCTATTTTCTTTGCGACTTGCAATAACTCTCCGTGGTTCTACATCAATAGTTGTTTAGTAGTCCAAAAATGTCAGAAACATTACCTTGCTTGACCATGCTGTAGGTCATGTAACTGTTTGTTACATGCAATATGCTTTGTGGACTTCACCGGACAGATGTTGCTCTCCGGTTTTGTGATGAAACAAAGGTGTGGTTGAATTTATTCTGCCACTGTGTCTTCTTATTGTCTCAGCCTTATATATATATACTGTATATATCACTTTCACAAGGTATATGAACTAACTGCTTCTAGAGCAAACAACGCAATTATCACAACACCCTTTTTTTCTGGCTTGGCTTCCCCAGTGATTTTATCCACGCACCGCTACTGCAACAGAATACGTCAGGTTGTGTAACAGACCAGGAACACAGTAGTACTCTGGTTTTGATATTGACAACTCATTCTTTGCATCGTACCGTATGTATTGTCTGTATACCCGCTTTGGGTTTGGCCAATTCCATTTCCATTCAGAAAGTGCACTGTACTTTCAATTGTATTTTTCTCTTTACCTCTCTGTTGTTCCTCCAATCTGGCCTGCTTGCTTGGAGGTGGGCTACCACTGCTCTGGTCCACTCTATCAGGGTACAGTCTCTTCAGGGAGGTCCTTTCAACTTCTTCCAGTGTTGTGGGAGGTGCCTACACAGAGAACAATCACTAGGTACAGCTCCTCTATAGAATGTTATTGCTTCATTTCCCATCCCAGCCATAGTATGGCTGGGACAGTCATGAATAGGAATGTTATTATTATCACTGCTAAATACGTCTCCCATGACCCTGTAGAGACAAACATGAATGGTGACACAGATGCAGATAGATAAAAGGTTCCAGACAATACGTTATGCAGATAGATAAAAGGTTCCAGACAATACGTTTATCTATCTAGACTATCAGAGACGTTAGTTTCACAACCGGTCACAAGCGAGTCTCATTTTTTATTGTATATAAGACAGAACATTTCCAGACACTTTTACTTATCAAGATAACATTAATTCGTTTGGGGATTTTTCAGTTCTCTCCCCTCTTAAGAAACTGGGATTTTCTAAGACATTTATCTAAGACCATATTTTCTTTGACAGATGGAACGATGTATGGGACTCAAATAAGTCTTGTAAATCATCCCAGAGCTCAGAAAAGCAAATGACCCCCTTCACCTTTATCCTAAATTAGGGCACATCTCTCCCTTGCTTCCTCTCTTAAAGCAGTGTCTAGTAAGTATTTTTTATTTATTTATTTATTTTTATTTAACCTTTATTTAACCAGGTAAGCCAGTTGAGAACAAGTTCTCATTTACAACTGCGACCTGGCCAAGATAAAGCAAAGCAGTGCGATAAAAACAACAACCCAGAGTTAAATATGGGGTAAAACAAAACATAAAGTCAAAAATACAACAGAAAATATATATACAGTGTGTGCAAATGTAGTAAGTTATGGAGGTAAGGCAATAAATAGGCCATAGTGCAAAATAATTACAATTAGTATTAACACTGGAATGATAGATGTGCAAGAGATGATGTGAAAATAGAGATACTGGGGTGAAAATGAGCAAAATAAAGAACAATATGGGGATGAGGTAGTTGGGTGGGCTAATTTCAGATGGGCTGTGTACAGGTGCAGTGATCGGTAAGGTGCTTTGACAACTGATGCTTAAAGTTAGTGAGGGAGATAAGAGTCTCCAGCTTCAGAGATTTTTGCAGTTCGTTCCAGTCATTGGCAGCAGAGAACTGGAAGGAATGGCGGCCAAAGGAGGTGTTGGCTTTGGGGATGACCAGTGAGATATACACTTGGTATTAACACTTGGTAGCAGACTGAGCACACACCCACTCCCCCTCCACACTCCCCCTCCAAATACCCACTCCCCCTCCCCCTCCACACACCCACTCCCGCTCCACACACCCACTCCCCCTCCACACTCCCCACTCCCCCTCCACACTCCCCACTCCCTAAAGCCCAGACTGTGGGAACTAAAGGCCTGTCAGAACAACAGCTCTTACCACCTCCACTGGCTTGTGTCAATATCACTGAAAAGGGGGGCTCGGTGAGTGTGTGTGCCAGGTGAGTGTGTGTGTCTTTGTGTAGGTTCCTGCAGGTTATCCCGTGTGTCAGTCACACTAGAGTCGAGTTTCGAGTCGAGGAATCTGAATAGCCCACCAATTAGATAGTCTGATCTCGGCGTCTGCCTCTCCTCACTCTCCCTGACTCTCTCCCTTATCCCAACCCACTTTTCCCACAAACTTGTTTTCCCACACCATCCCTTCCCCCCCCCCCCCCCCTTTGTGTGCCAGAGCCCCAAGCTACAGTCCCAGGATAAGCAGGGAACATGACTCAACTCACTGTTGTGGTGGTGAACTCCAAGACGAGGGAGGAGGGAGGAGGGAAGAGAGAGGAGGGAGGAGAGAGGAGGGAGGGAGACCTACCAGGCCACAGCGCTGCATGTTGGAGAGGTGCATCTCTGGGATAAAGAGGACAGGGTTGGTGACGTGGTCCTCCAGGGTCTTGAAGAAGGTGCTGTCACTTCCCATGGAGCTGGACACCACTGCCTTGTTGGCTGAGGAGGAAGAGGAGAACACTGGGTTAGAATGGGCATTATAGAATCGCCTGTTTAATTAAGACCTAAAGGGCTGGTTTTCTGGGTGCTTTTTAGTCTAGGAGTAGGGTTAACCTGAGTCTGGGAAATTGGCTCTATGATATTGTAATGCTTGTGAGACTGAATTCTCCTCTTTAAGGAAGAATAGGTACTGAACAGTGACACTATTTATACAAGTGGGGGATAAATCCCAAAATGCCAATTTCGTTAGAAACCCATGGGGCCTTAAATTACAATCACAGACGGAGAATGCAGGATTTCTTTCCTGCTTGTCTTATTTCACTGCTGATTTAGTCAGACTATTTAAATCACGTAATGGAGTTGAGTTGGGCTTGTGAAGGCCAAGCCTCATCATGAACGCAGATACCCAAACTGTAATGAAATTAGTTATTTGCATGTTCTGACACGCTAACCACACCGCTTGCGTTTCTTGTGCGAGCGTTGCAAAATAAATGTACATGTTATTCAATCTTTTCATCCAAACTGCTCGCGCGCGCGAACAAGCTTCTGCGTAGCCAGGCGCTAAAATAGAACTTGGTTCTATTTTTCACCCTTGACATGCTGCAAGTCCCGCCTCTCCCATCTCCTCATTGGTTTTTAGGAGCCTCTACCCACGTGGGTGACTGAAAGCTGAACTGAGGTCCACACTCCAGTCCAGTTGGTTGCCAAGCGCCATATAAAGTCCACAGAAGAAGAAGAAGAAGAAGAAGAAGAAGACTGAAGGGGGATAGATGCCTAGAAACTAACTAAATGTCCCCTTTTATCTGTGGATTAGTTGTCGGAGTAGAGAACACACGATTTTAGGTGACTCAAAATGGGTCAAAGTTCTACAAAGATCCAGGAAAAAAGGACTTTGTGCATTTCAGGTAAAATAACAACCCAATGTTTATATCCCATGACAAATTAACTAGCAACATCAAGCTAGCTAGCTAAATGTCCATAAATGTTTAATGCGTTTCGACCTGTCCCCAAATGAATATAGTTGGTTCAGAGTTCGTTTTGATATTTCAACCTGCGTGTCCTGATTGCGTCTGGTGTGCATGGACAAAATCAACATGTGCGATGGTGCACGTGGACGCCTGTTGTAGTCAGCCTGTTAGACACAACATGGTGTTAGATGTCTCCTGGGGTTTACATCTGTCATTGGGTTAGTGTTTGTGTGCGGATGTAGGTTGTGATTATTTTTTCTATAATAAGACGGTGCCTGAAGAACTCGTACTTTTGGAGTCGATGACAGTCTTGCCCCTTCTCTTGCTCCTCTTCCTGTCCTCATCTCTCATCTTCCTCTCCGCACCCTGAGGAGAAAGACCCAGACACACACGGTCACAACTCTACTCTGACACACTAACCAGTCCGCCATACAATAGGTGCATCTCTTAGAGAAGAAGCAGCAATAAAATAATACAAATCAGTTTTTCTGTCATGGTTGAGCTAGCCCCCCCCCCCCCCCCACATTGTAATAGAGCGAATAAGAGGGACCACATTCATGACACAACACTCATTCACCAGCTGCTAAACCAGTTTGTTTGGCTTGTGTCTCAGTGAGCGCCACAACACATTATCACGCTACTGTGTCAAAACAGCTAGTGGCAGCGGATGACAGTCCAAAAGGCGGATAGATTGAAAAGATTACAATGCCATAGGGGCTTTTGACGACAACTATCGGATTTCAAGCCAACAATGGGATTAATGACATAGGTTCAATTTATGAACCAGACAACTCTGAGATTAAAGCATCTGTTTTTGTCACCTGCACAGCTTTCAGGTCATAAACTAGAGATACATTAACTGTATAGGACTTAGTACCAAACCTTGGAGGACACCACTAAATATATATTGTAAAGCATACAGTGCATTCAGAAAGTATTCAGACCCCTTGACTTTGTTACGTTACAGCCTTGTTCTAAAATGGATTAAATTGTTTGTTTTCCTCATCAAGCTACACACAATACCCCATAATGACAAAGCAAAAACAAGTTTAGGCATTTTTGCAAATTTATGAAGAAAAAAAAAGGAAATCACATTTACATAAGTATTCAGACCCTTTACTTAGTACTTTGTTGAAGCACCTTTGGCAGCGATTACAGCCTTGAGTCTGCTTGAGTATGATGCTACAAGCTTGGCACACCTGTATTTGGGGAGTTTCTCCCGCTCTTCTCTGCAGATCCTCTCAAGATCTGTCAGGTTGGATGTCCCGAAGCAACTCCTGCGTTGTCTTGGCTGTGTGCTTAGGGTTGTTGTCCTGTTGGAAGGTCAACCTTCACCCCAGTCTGAGGTTCTGAGCGCTCTGGAGCAGGTTTTCATCAAGGATCCCTCTGTACTTTGCTCCGTTCATCTTTCCCTCGATCCTGACTAGTCTCCCAGTCCCTGCCGCTGAAAAACATCCCCACAGCATGATGCTGCCACCACCATGCTTCACCGTAGGGATGGTGCCAGGTTTCCTCCAGATGTGACGCTTGGCATTCAGGCCAAAGAGTTCAATCTTGGTTTCATCAGACCAGAGAATCTTGTTTCTCATGGGCTGAGAGTCCTTTAGGTGCCTTTTGGCAAACTCCAAGCGGGCTGTCATATAGCCTTTTACTGAGGAGTGGCTTCCGCCTGGCCACTCTACTATAAAGGCCTGATTGATGGAGTATTGCAGAGATGGTTGGCCTTCTGGAAGGTTCTCCCATCTCCACAGGGGAACTCTGGAGCTCTGTCAGAGTGACAATCGGGTTTTTGGTCACCTTTCTGACCATGGCCCTTCTCCCCCGATTGCTCAGTTTGGCCGGGCGGCCAGCTCTAGGAAGAGTCTTGGTGGTTCCAAACTTCTCACATTTAAGAATGATTGAGGCCGCTGTGTTCTTGGGGACCTTCAAACCTGCAGAAATTTTTTGGTACCCTTCCCCAGATCTGTGCCTCGACACAATCCTGTCTCGGAGCTCCATGGACAATTCCTTCAACTTCATGGCTTGGTTTTTGCTCTGACATGCACTGTCAACTGTGGGACCTTATGTAGACAGGTGTGTGCCTTTTCAAATCATGTCCAATCAATTTAATTTACCACAGGTGGACTCCAATCAAGTTGTAGAAACATCTCAAGGATGATCAATGGAAACAGGATGCACCTGAGCTCAATTTCGAGTCTCATGGCAAAGGGTCTGAACAGTTATGTAAATAAGGTATTTCTGTTTTATATTTTAGTAAAATTAGCAAAAAAAATGTTTTTCGCTTTGTCATTATGTGGTATTGTGTGTAGATTGATGAGTAAAACAATTTATTTAATACATTTTAGAATAAGGCTGTAACGTAACAAAATGTGGAAAAAGGGAAGGGGTCTGAATACTTTCTGAATAACAACCCATCTACGACACATCTATAAGCCCTTCAAAAAATTTGACATTTGAGATACATAGAGATCTTTACTGACCTTATCACAGAAGATTTTGACCTGGACGGCAGCTCTGTGGATGAGGCGGTTGGTGCCGGTGCTGAAATCATAGGTGTCGATCTGGAGGTTGAGAGGAAGCCCCTTCACTCCCTTCTGAGAGGAGAAGTCTGTACTCAGAGAGTTGATGCCAATGTACACCTGGAGAAGGAGAGAGGATAAGAGGGTTAACATGATATCAGACAAGGAAATGTGCAGTATTATACAGAGCCATGAATGCATGGAACTCCCTTCATCTTATATAGCGCAAGTGAACATCAAACCTGGTTTCAAAAAACAAATAAAGAAACACCTCACGGCACAACGCCTCTCCCGTATGCTACCTACATTTTGTGTGCATGTACTGACATGTATGTGTAACTGATAGATACACACGCAAACTACATGTTAAAAGTAATTTTTCTGTAATGTGTCGGACCCCAGTAAGACTAGCTGTCGCCATTAGCATTGGCCAATGGTGATCCTAATAAATTAAAAAAATTAAACAGCTACTGAATTGGAGAACTTTCTAGAACTGTTTTGGTGCTCTTCAAAAAGATCCTGGCGCAGTAATGAGAACTTTGAGAATCATTAAACCATTTACGCGATTCACAATTGCTTCACTGCTGTTCTATTCAATGTCATATAATAAGAAGTGATACAGAGAGAGAACGTCGCGTGTGTGTGGGTGGCTGGCTGGCTACTCTTTTCCAATTATGATATTTTCTCTTAGGTGTGACAGAGAAAATAAAAGGATTGAGTGACAAGCCTAGACACATCTCTGATCGGGAAGAAGTGTGGGGACAGAAAAAGCTTAACAAAACCAAAACTAGGAATCTATGGACACGTGTTGTGATGACACCTTTTTGGATTGGGAACCCTCCACTTGTGGAAAAATGTACAGTATAACAGAAAAGTCTAGCATGTTTCCACAATGGCTGTGTCTTGGTAAGGTTTCAGGATATAAGAGGCCCTGATTTTAACAGACTTGTTCTGGGGCCAGTCGTAAAGTGGGATGAGTTAGTAGATCACTGGTTGTGACAACAGGTGTTGAAATTAGCTTTTCTCTCTCATTCCTTCCAACCTGTCTTTTCCCCTCTCTCTCTCTCTCTCTCTCGCTCTCTCTCTCCCTCTCTCCACCTGCAGTGAGTTTCACTGCCCCACCCCTATGGGTTTGAACAGATTGCAGTAAGCGTTCTCGACATGTCGCTCTTGCCTTGTGGTGACAGGCGCCCCGGGGCGGCCGCATGCCAGGGATTCCTCCCCTCCCAACCCTCAGCGCTCCCTCATCGCCCCATTTCATCTGAACGGATAGCGTGGCTAGGTAAATAATAGGGGCGTTACAAGCGCTATGACTTTATCTGTGTGTGTGTCAGCGTGTGTGTTTTTCCACTGTTGCGCCAGTTTCCTGGCTGCTCTTACTTTAGCTTCCTCATTGGGGTTCCAGATGAAGGACAGAGCGTTGAAGGCCACCTCTTCCACATGGCTGATGCCGCTGAAGACCTCTTTGTAGTCAGCTAGAAGATAGATAGAAAGATATTGATTTAGTTCAGAGATAATTAAGTGGTTATCTGCCCTGAAAAGATCCAGGCTTATGAAAGAAACCAGATTGTGGTTATCTCTTCTGAAGAAATACAGGCCTACGAAAAAGCAACAACAACAACTGATTAAATCTTCCAGTCATTGACATTTTCTGTTACTATACTATGCTTGTGTTTGTGTGTACATGGTAAAGGCTGCTGTGCATACCGATGTCAATGACCCTCTGCTTAACGGTCGGCTGCCTTGCGTGCCAGTGATTCCAGCACCTCAGCTGGATCTCTGCACTCTTGTCATTCTCAAACACCGCCATGACAACCGTCTGGAGAAAGAGAGGAGAGAGAGAGAGAGAGAGACCATCAGACAAGGTACATTTTGTGTACGTTGTGTGCATCGTTGACTCAGAGAAAGACAAACTACTGGGCCCGTTTCATTCAGATGTCAGCCGCTGCATTTATTACTCCAAATCCCCAATTCTCTCCTGGAATTGTCACCAGCTATTAGCAGGGCTTGTGTGTGTACTCTCTTTTCACCTGAGAAAAGAGAGGGCTGTCACCCAGGCCTTTAGCGCCTCACCTCTCCCCCTGTTCTCCCTCTCGGCCTGACTAACTGGCTGACATGCATTGGATTTGGCCCCGCCATACGAAGTATGTACAGAGCCTGGCGGAACACCAAAAACAAAATCACTCATCACAAGAAGAGAGAACAACGTTCCTGCCCTGATCCACCATGACAGTCAACAATAGTGAACCAAGGGAGATTTTTTGAAGGAACATACTTTCGCTGGGGTTGTGTCAGATAGAACATCCTATGATGTCATCAAAGCTCGGCTCACCTTGACTTTGTTGGAGGACAGGCTGTCCACCCCCTGTAGGGAGATTGGGTAGAACTGGCCTTTGTTGAGGTAAACCATGGGCAGCTGGGACGACTTGTGCTGGGTGGCTTGAGGGGCTCCCAGAATGAACTGGAAATCATTCCTGGAGACAGAAAAGACAGAGAAGAATGGTAATGGTCAGCATTATGCTTTGCCATTGGAATGTCAATGATATTCATTACCTTTAGCCTAATTAGATTAGCATTAGCGATACTGGGCATCGCTCAGTGTTCAAGCTGACATAATGACTTTGAAGTCATCACACAGGTGTTCTAATTTGATGTGATTCCCAGGGCACATAGCTACCTGTATCTCTCTGGAGGGGAGTTGGTGTAGGAGTCAGAGTACACTGGGCTGGGCTGCTTGGTAAAGGGATCGCTGTAGGGTAGAGCCTGCTTCAGGGGAACACAAGAAAATAGTAACGAGGAGATGGAATGTGAAAAAAGAAAGAAAGAGAGAGATGGAGGGAAACTAGAAGTGAAAGGGGAGATGAGAAGTTGCCAGAGATGAAAATGTACAACGGACACCACCAGTTGTGATATAGACAAATAAACAAGATGGCTGCTCTGGTTAGAGCTGTAAGCTTACCTCAGTGGTGGCCTCAGGGAAGACTGTCTCTGTGGGCCACTTCTGGGAGAGCAGGGAGTCGAACATGTTGTTGATGGCCTGCTTGTCATAGGTGTCGGCACTGGAGTTGAGGGGGAGAGGGTTTTGGGGGACAGAGGGGGGGCAGAGAGACGATAGCTTGCTGTTGAGGTCCAGCGCCTCCTGGGGGTTGTTGATGATGTTGGTAGGCGTCTCCAGGGAGACCAGCTCGGGGGAGGAGCCACTCAGTGTCCTGGGTTGTGGGGAGGGGGAGGAGTTTAGATACAGGACAAACCCAATTGGCCACCCCCTCTTTTGTACAGCAGCACACATACACACAATTACAGACTACAAATGTGTAAAAGTCAAAAAAGCATGAATAAAGCCAGTGTAGTTCTCAGAGTCCACTGAGCACACAGTGCTACTGAAAGTGAACTAAAGAGAGTTTACCGCCTAATCCCAATATTGTTTCCCTCTTTCTTTATTTGAGTTTATCTATGGGACTGACTGCCGTGTTTGACGGGACAACAGCGCGGCCACCGACGGCAATTTTTCAACCCAGACAAAAGAGAGGGTGAGTGAGAGGGAGAGCTGGGGCTGCTTCTCCTCCTTTTGTGAGTCAGAGACTGTGTTTTTCAGGAGGAGGTGTACCACGGCCCATAATCCCTTGGGGTTCTGTTTGACAGGGGGATTAGCCACTAGCTCACCCAACTCTGACCTCGCCAAAGCCCTGCCCTTTCTCTGCTGCTTGACTCCATGTAAAGGGGCTTGACTCCATGTAAAGAGGCTTGACTCCACGACATAGGAACTCCCAATACCACCCGGGAACCACTTAAAAATCCCTTTAACCTCCTATCTTCCCCATACCCCTTTAGTGTCTGCCTCTACGGTTTGATTGACAGGTGACATTCTCTTGGCCTTTACCCTGATCGCTCAATCAAGCCTATACTCTTGGTAGTGTAAAAAAATTGCTTAGATATCAATCTTACCTCTCTGGCTTGTACATACTGCTGCCTCGGCTGCATGCAACCATTTTCTGTTCTTTTGGTGTCTGTGAACATGAGACAACAACAGGGAGTTGTTTCAGTACAACACACATACAGAGGAGACAGGTTGAACTTAAACGGGTGTTATAACACACACGTTACCTTGCACTGCTCGTAGGTGAGCAGGCTGTCTGTGTAGGCCCAGGAGTCCATGATGAGGTTATTGTAACACTGGTAGTTGAAGCTCTCGTTCTGAAGGACCAATCCCAGAGTCCTGCAGCGCACAGACCAGCAGAAAAATCACATTCATGAACTCACATTATAGATAGATATAATACAGATCAAAATTGGTAGGCTTCACATTCTGAATAAAGCATTGCAGTGAAGGAGGTAGCACTTGACTTAATAATTAAATTCAGTTTTTGGCATGTTTTGGCTGTGGGAAGTGCCTCTTTGCCTGTGCATATGTTAACCTTTGTAGTAGAAATGCAAGACTTTATGGTGTGAGTGTCTGCATGCTAAGAACAACCTTAAGCGCTGCACATACTTGCCCCTGGGCTAGAAGGAGGGTTTCGATTGCAAAACCACAGATCTTATTAAGATTTGGCTGCTCACCGCATAGGTGTCAAGAGCTCACCCACACACAAATATGCCTTGTATAACCCTCAAAATTATTACGTTAACTAGAACTGGATCATAATATCAGTTACCTTAGAACAGTATCATGTTTTAAAAAAAAAAAAAAAAAAAAGAAATCACTTATGAGAACTTATTTGTTATAAGCCTTTCTCCTCCTAGGGTCGTAGTGATTTTTAAGTAAAAACGTCAGGATCCGAGCTGTCACCTGGGAGACTCTGAGTTTCCAAAAGTTTGCCAAAAGTCCAGACACAAAACAAGGGATTTAGGGGAAGGATCAGTAACTCCTCAGGATAAACAGAAAGAAAAGTGGGATTTTGTTTTGGGAATTTCCTGGCTACTGAGAGTGGGGTACGCCTCCTGTAAGTTGAGTGGCCAGCGTGCAAACAGAGCAGGTTTACCTTTGAGCTACCACATCATATGCTGACTACAAAAGGAAGACTTCAGGCATTGACATCCCACTGTGTTTGACCAGGACAGAGAGAATTACAATGAGGCTTATTAGCATAGAATTATCACTGTCATTCTATACCTCTTAAGATACCTATACAACTGTTTACTAAAATGCCTTCTCTCAAAACTGCAACCCACCACTGCAAAGACTGATTTAACAACAGACACCTGTTCTAAGATACACCTGTTTCTCCCTCTACAGACACTCACCTGCCTCAGTGTACATTAACACTACAACATTCCATTAGCTACTCTTCCCCTTACAAAAAAAGATTGCAGTTTTGAAACTGCAGTAAAAGTGCAGTAACTGCAGCCGACTGTGGTATTTTGGACGCAGTAATTGCAGTATACTGGTCCTCTGTAGCTCAGCTGGTAGAGCACGGCGCTTGTAACACCAAGGTAGTGGGTTCGATCCCCGGGACCACCCATACACAAAAAAAATAAAATAATGTATGCACGCATGACTGTAAGTCGCTTTGAATAAAAGCGTCTTCTAAATGGCATATTATATTATATTATTATAATTGCAGTGTACTGCACTCTGACTGCAATCTTTTTTGGTAAGGTTCTTCCCCTAAATACGGCTCAATACAGATGTTACAATAGAGAATCCCTGTCTAGAGTTTCACCACTACGTTATGTAATTCAATGCATTCCACCTCGTCATGTACCAGGCTCTCCAACACATTCAGGAGGGGGGGGGGGGGGGGTACCGGTTTCCCTCTCCCCCATCGTGTGTTGTAGCCCCTAGGTTAGTGTCAACACGGCCTATGACAGTTTAAACCACGAGTCACGATGAATACACAACATGGCAGGGGGACACCGAAAGTGTGTGTGTATCAGGTTCTCCACAAAATAGAAGTTTTTTTCTAAAAACACACCTTTCACATGGGGGTCTCATTGCACAACATAAAGAGGAAGAGAAGGGGGGGGGGGGGGGGGGGGGGGGCTGCATATCTCACCCTCTCTCTCAGGAAGTGTAGGTAACTCTTACTGTTCAACAGAAGATGAATGAATGGACAAGTCAGCGCTTGCATCATTATCTATTCTGGCCCTCAGCAGAAAAGTTTAGATAAAGGATCAGAGGAAGGGAAATTAAGAGGTAGACTGTTGCAGAACCAAAAGCAGTTACAGCCAAAGGGCCTTACATCATTCCAACCAACGGATGCACTTATGCCACGTTCACGCGGTTATCGTAGAAAAGAAAGACGATCCAGAGTTTCCCATTTGGGAAACAATCAATAGGAAGCTCTACGCAAATAACTTACTTACGTGAACATGGCATTAGAATATTAGACTGTCTAATACGACCGGTTGCATTTTACCTTAGCAGGTATATACCACAAGACACAAGTCCAAACACATTTCCTTTAAGGAACACATTCTAGCCACAAAACACCCCCTTTAACCCCGTAAAACATAGATGTTTTTATTTATTTAACCTTTTATTTAACTAGGTAAGTCAGTTAAGAACAAATTCTTATTTACAATGATGGCCTTACAAACATAGCATGTCACAGAGAACCACATAAAGAAGTTGTCAACTTACTCAATCTCTTTGGTCATGACTCCTTTCCAAGACAGCAGAGTTTAGGTTCCTTTGGGTAAAGTCTCCTCCAGTGGTTGTGGGTTTGTGCGTCTCAACGAGAGTGAGCCTGTTTTGATTCCTGTCCTCACCAGATCCCCACATTTATTTCATGCTGACAGGTAGCTTCCCTCACTCGCGCCTGATTGGCCGAGGGCTCTGGAGACAGGTGCCTGATAGGACAGGTGTAGAGGAGTTAACTGTTTCAGTGCTGATGGAAAACAAGGTGTGAATGGTTGGGTACTTAGCAGGACAATCCTGGGAAGTGTGTCACGCATCTCATTAGGAGTTAAAGAAAAGAGTGAGATTGATTTCTCCAAGGTGTGAAATGCTTCTTATGTAAAGTGAGAAAACTAAGTGTTTTTGCAGGAACTAGGTTTTAGAATGGTTTAGAATTTAGAATTCAGCATCATTATACAGTGTTGAGAAAATTCAACTGGTGGTTTTGGTGCCCTTATTTGCTGGGGATCAGTGTTTGTAATAGTTTTTTGCATAACTATTTAACGCGGGTAGTTCAGAGTAGTAGTAGCTGAGGACTTTATATTTGGATAAGAGTTGAAAGGATTTGTTACATTGCATATTGAATGATCCACAAGAGGAACATAATTTAAGATTATAATATCTGGTCCCTATAACGAAACAAAGACCATACCATCATTTCAAATTGATATACCGGTACACCCATTTACATTTATTTAATGAGCATGAGTTATTTCTGCTGTTTAATGTTTTAAAAATTAGATTTGGATGTTTTATGGTTTGGATTTTACATTTCAACATAGATAAAACTGAAATATTATTTTTTTCAAATCTGGAAAGAATTTCAAATGAGAATTCACAATTCTCAAAGTGCAATACATCTTTACATATTTCACATGAAACATCGCGTACATGGTTTATTTTATGTATTGTATTTCTGTATGTGATCAGCCCATATAGCATAAACCAAAATATGGAGATGGAATGACATACAGTCTTTCCTCCTTTCACAATAAGAACAGGACGCTGTGTTCTTTTAAGGATCTTCTCCGATTGTTACAATAATACGGCTCTTCCAGGCAAACTTGCACTGGCCTCATCCACCCACCTTCCTTCCCTTTTAAAGAACCAAGAAGAAGGATATTGGCATCTGTGCAATATGTATCTAGCATCTAGAGTAGGAGTGCTGATTTAGGATCCGTTTAGCCTTTTAGATCACAATGAATATGATTATATGTACAGGGAGGACCTGATCCTTGATCAGTGCTGAGCTTGCCTAACATGTGTTACATGTGCTAACCCCACTCAGTATTTTTTACTTTTTACCTTTATTTAGCCAGGTGTATCCTGTACAATATCAATGTAGTTCCTGTATACAACAGTGAATGCACTCATGTGGTTTCCCTGTTGGAAGGATTCCCTGGCCTTTTTAAATATTTAATATATACAGTGGGGAGAGAACAAGTATTTGATACACTGCCGATTTTGCAGGTTTTCCTACTTACAAAGCATGTAGAGGTCTGTAATTTTTATCATAGGTACACTTCAACTGTGAGAGACGGAATCTAAAACAAAAATCCAGAAAATCACATTGTATGATTTTTAGGTAATTAATTTGCATCTTACTGCATGACATAAGTATTTGATCACCTACCAACCAGTTAGAATTCCGGCTCTCACAGACCTGTTAGTTTTTCTTTAAGAAGCCCTCCTGTTCTCCACTCATTACCTGTATTAACTGCACCTGTTTGAACTCGTTACCTGTATAAAAGAAACCTGTCCACACACTCAATCAAACAGACTCCAACCTCTCCACAATGGCCAAGACCAGAGAGCTGTGTAAGGACATCAGGGATACAATTGTAGACCTGCACAAGGCTGGGATGGGCTACAGGACAATAGGCAAGCAGCTTGGTGAGAAGGCAACAACTGTTGGCGCAATTATTAGAAAATGGAAGAAGTTCAAGATGACGGTCAATCACCCTCGGTCTGGGGCTCCATGCAAGATCTCACCTCGTGGGGCATCAATGATCATGAGGAAGGTGAGGGATCAGCCCAGAACTACACGGCAGGACCTGGTCAATGACCTGAAGAGAGCTGGGACCACAGTCTCAAAGAAAACCATTAGTAACACACTACGCCGTCATGGATTAAAATCCTGCAGCGCACGCAAGGTCCCCCTGCTCAAGCCAGCGCATGTCCAGGCCCGTCTGAAGTTTGCCAATGACCATCTGGATGATTCAGAGGAGGAATGGGAGAAGGTCATGTGGTCTGATGAGACAAAAATAGAGCTTTTTGGTCTAAACTCCACTCGCCGTGTTTGGAGGAAGAAGAAGGATGAGTACAACCCCAAGAACACCATCCCAACCGTGAAGCATGGAGGTGGAAACACCATTCTTTGGAGATGCTTTTCTGCAAAGGGGACAGGACGACTGCACCATATTGAGGGGAGGATGGATGGGGCCATGTATTGCGAGATCTTGGCCAACAACCTCCTTCCCTCAGTAAGAGCATTGAAGATGGGTCGTGGCTGGGTCTTCCAGCATGACAACGACCCGAAACACACAGTCCTGTTGAAAAACAAATGATAGTCCCACTAAGCGCAAACCAGATGAGATGGCATATCGCTGCAGAATGCTCCATGCTGGTTAAGTGTGCCTTGAATTCTAAATAAATCACAGACAGTGTCACCAGCAAAGCACCCCCACGGTGGGAATTACACATGCGGAGATCATCCGTTCACCTACTCTGCGTCTCACAAAGACACAGCGGTTGGAACCAAAAATCTCAAATTTGGACTCATCAGACCAAAGGACAGATTTCCACCGGTCTAATGTCCATTGCTCGTGTTTCTTGGCCCAAGCAAGTCTCTTCTTCTTATTGGTGTCCTTTAGTAGCGGTTTCTTTGCAGAAATTCAACCATGAAGGCCTGATTCACACAGTCCCCTCTGAACAGTTGATGTTGAG